TGCTGAGGCAGGGAGAGACTGGAGCTTGGAGAACCAGCACGTTCAAGGGCACTGCAGGGCCCTGAATAACAAAGCAGTAGAAACCTCTTCCAATTTTTTTCTGTGCCCTTCTGCAATACCATGGTAACTGCCTAGATCACATCTGTTTCTCAGGTAAATCACTGCCCTGCTTAAAAATGCATATGGCCTGTAAGGCACTCCTAGAATTCATCCTAAAATAAAGGAAGATTTATACATAAGGATATTCAACATGCGGCACACCCTGGACCTGCGCTGACAATCTCTATGGTCTTGAGCTTGTCACTTAACCTCTCCAGCCTGTTGTCCCATTTGAAAGTGGAGCCTGTGACAGCACCTGCCTCACAGGCCTACGGTGAGGATTCACTGCGAAAATCCTTGACAAGAACCCCAGCTCAGGGGAGGACCTCACTAAGTGTTTGCTGTTACTATGATTAGTAGCAAAAGTGAGAAAACAACTGTCCAACAGTAAAGGATTGGTCAAAAAAATATGGCACAGCCATATGGCTGCATAGTATGCAACTGCTAAAATGTTTTCTTGAAAATTGTTTAAGAACATTGTAAAGTTATCATAAGTAAAAAAAGGGATGTTAAAATGGATAGTAAAATGTTTATAGTATATGGTCCCAACTTTATGATGGAAACAGATGCATAATTTTAAAAGGCTGACAGGAAATTTGACAAAAGGTAACGGTGATTACAGCTTACATAGGATTTAATCCTGTAAGGAGTCCTGTAATAGGGTTCAATCCTTTAAGCTTTTCAGCTGTTTCTAGCTTTCCGTGCTTTTCTACAATGACTATGCATTATTTTATAGCCAGTGAATGTTACAGAGAAAGGAGCGCTGGCAATAATAAAGGAGTGAACTCAGCACTCTGTCTCGCCTGCCTTGGAAGCTACAGCTGGGCCTCCTCAACAAGGCGACCTTCCCAGAGAGGTATTGATTTCCTCTGGTTCAAAGTCAGTTCTGCCTGGCTGTCAGATCTGCTCGGCTACCCTCAGGGACCAGGAGACAGTGTGCAGAGAACTGGCTCCATGTTTCTGCCTTTCTGAGGGACTATGGGCTCCCAGCCCCACAAACACGAGGAGGGAAGCCACGGTCCCAAGCTCAAGGAGCTCAGAGTTCGTCAGGAGGCAGACCAGGAGACAGTGTGGGGAGCAGCACAGCCGAGGTACATGCGTGATGGAAATTACAGGAAGGCCTGGCCTGCAGGAGGCAGAGAGAGAGTGGGGGTCAGGGCCAGGCTCCTGGCAGCCAAGAGGCAAATGCAGAGGCAAAAGGTGTGAATATTCATGGCCTGAGACAGGAGCTAAGAGCCATTCACTGTGGCTGTTGCTAGTGCGTGAGGTCATGGTTTCACAGGTAGGCAGGGGGTCTTGCTTGTCATGCTGACGGGGCTGGACTTCATCCTCAGGCAGTAGAGGCCACTGAAAGGTTTTAAGTGGAGGAGAGACCTGCTGACATGTCCTTCAAATATCCCTCTGGCTACAGGGTAGAAAGTGCACTTCGGGGGGCAAGTGAGAAGTCAAGATGCCAGTTAGGAGCTGTGTGCAATAACTGAGACAAAAATTAGTACAGGCTAAGACCAAAATGGATCAAACCAAGATGAAGACAAAGCGGATATGAGCAGCATCAAGGTGGAAGAATCAAAGGAGTTGGTAACTTCCGAGATACTTGGGGAAGAGGGGAGGACACTGGGTATGTGGGTGGCACATTTGTCATGACAGAGAATACAGGCGGGGGAAGTTATGAATCTGAATCTGCTAAGTGTGGGATGTGTGGTGAGATGGTCAGTAGGGACCTGCACATAGAGTTCTGGGGTCATCAGAGGGGTCTGGGCTGAGGATGAGTGTCTTTGGAAGCCACTGGAGCGTATACGAGCTCCCAGAGTCAAGAGGACCAGCATGGCGAAGGGAAAGAGGGGGCTCACAGGGGGGATGAGCGGAGAGAGGTAGAAAATTGGGGAGGGGGAGAGAGGGGAAGAGAGAGAGAGAGGTAACATGGAAGACAGGGAGGAAAAGCAGGGCTTCTAGAAGGAGACTGCCATAGGTGGTCTCAGACCAGCAGAGGTCAGGCATGTCCATCGTTCAGTTCAGTACTGGGGGCTACTGGGCCCTCTGCTGGAACCATTTAGTGAGCCCCTCAGGTTCAGGCCCCTGCTCCAGGGTCTCCAGCAGATACAGGCCACAACTTCACTAAGGGAAGAAGGGGAATGAGGGAGGCTGGGAGGCCTGGGTGCAGGGTGAGGGGCCAGATCACAGTGGGAGAGGAATGCCTAGCCCACTCTCCTCCCTGGGTCTAGGGAGTGCAAGCAGTGCCCCTGGTACCAGCCCTCTCCAGGCCCAGAGAAGAAGCATGTTTGGGTATAAAGATTGTGGGCAGGACCCCAGTACCAATGCCAAGCACAGATCCATGGGTGGGGTGGCCTCAGGCCCCCTACTGAGGGGAGCTGGAACAGCAGTAGGCTGCAGAGACCCAAGGAGGGGAGCATGGGGCATTTGCTGAGAGACAGTGCCACCTCGTGGCAGGAGGCACTCACACCAGGCTTCTGCTCCTAGACCTTTGGGGGTCTTTCAGGCTGGGGTCCCCTGCACTGGAAGCAGTGAGCCAGGGCTTTTGCCACCTGGGCAGCACTGGAGCCTTTGACAGCAGCATGCCCTGGGGCATCAGCTGAGGTTGTCTCTACCAAGAGAGAAGGTAGGCAGACTAGAATTTTAGCCATAGCCATTTGGTGCCAGGCAAGGGCAAAAATGTAAGGTCGTGCTGGCAGGCTTGTACCAGCACAGAGGGAGAGACTGGACAGGTTGCTGTTTGGCTGCTATTGCGTGTTTGTCTGTGGTGTCTTTAGGCACACAGAGAAATAACAGCATGCTCGTGAAGCTCTTCCAGGCACAGCCACCCTCCTGTCTCCAACTCATGGTCCACAGGAATTCTGGGCTTCTGCAGTGCATGCTTCCCTGGAGGCTTGGGTTGGAGGTGAGGGGCCACCTGCAGGACACCCAGCAGCAGAGGACCACTCCTACCACCAGCCTTCCCAGAGATTCTCCCCTGGCTCCAGGTTCATCTCCAAGGAGCCTGCTTCTTGGAGATAGAGGTGTCCCCTGGATGCCCCACACTCAGAAGGGCCCAGATTCTGGAGACCACATGGTCACACCCACACGCCTATGATCCACTCCTGACTGCTCAGCAGTTTCAGGCCAGGTGAGGTCACTGTGACCCCCTTAAGCGACACAACAGAGTTCATTTTTATTCTCAATTGTTGGTTTGGCTGAGTGAGATAAAGCGTTCTCTTAAAAATACTTATTTAAACTTTCCTTATTACAAAAGAAATGTGTGTGCCATGTTAAAAACTAGTTTTACAAAAATGCATGACTTGGAAAGTGGAAGTCCCTTATATAGTTTTATCTTCTTTCAAAATTTTCTATTAACAGCCTGGTGTACTTTCAGCTTTTTTCCTATACATGTACACTGTGAGTGTGGGGGAGGAATGCATGTATTGCTTCCTATACTGGCAGCTCTACAGCTTAGCTTGACTTTTCCAGTAAGAGCATCCTACTAGAGGTGCTCTTACCACCCAGTTCAAATTCAGGTTAACTCAGTGACCCAAGACCAGGGTGGGAGGCAAGGTAAGGTCCAGGGACTCAGATATGTGAGCACTGGGGAGATGGACCCATGCTGGAAACCCCGATCAGCCTGGAAGAGAAGCGCACCCCCAGAAAACACATGCAAGGAGGCCAGGGCAGACTCCACACCCCTCACCTCCCTCCCAGCTCCGCCAGCAGCACAGTCGGTACAGAACAGGCTGCCACGTGAGTGTGGCCCAGGCAAGCTGTACGAGACAAGTGGCTGTCCCAGGGAGCTGCCTGAGCCACTGGGACGTCCTGTACATTTCTGCTGAGTTAGGTGCACAGGCCGTGTCACACCCAGCGTCAGAGCTTGGGAACTGGGCCCTGCGCCAGGGCAGAGCCCTGTGACATCCAGGACAACAAGGGCAACTTCAGCCCCGTGGGCCAGACCTGCTCTTCCCCATGGCCTCATGGGTGGGCAAATGCACCCTTCGGCACTCCGCTTATGGAACCCCTCACATCAGGCATGTCACACTATTTTATGGCCAATAATCCAAACTAAGAGTAATAAGAAAAACAAAATAAATAACTAGAAGGAGATGCTGGTCAGGATTCTGAGCTACAGGGTCAGGATAAGCCTTCCAGAAAGGAGGATCCTGTCGATACCCAGCAGCCTCCTGCTGTCCCAGGACAGGCAGTGATGAACCCAGTTCCCAGATCCAGAATCGGGCTGCACATTTGCACCCTGGGCCCCCTGGTAATTGGCTGCATGACCAAGGCAGTAACTTGTTGCTTCTGAACCCGCTCCCTTGCTGGTTAGTGGAAATAATACAAACAGCAGCTACAATTAAATGAAATGACATGTATCAAGCACTTAGCACACACCTACTAGACAATATACTTGAATGTCACCCACTATCATTATTATGATTGGTTGAGGGCACCCAAAAAAGAAATAACTCCCGAGGGCACACAGAACTTCCAGGGCCTTTGGGGCCTCCCCTCTGGACACAGCCAGGAACACCCCAGCCACTGTGTAGCTGCACCCAGGCCAGGTCCTCGCACACAGGGGCAGTTTTGCTCCCCCTGAACAGGGTGCTGGGTGGGCAGGGGCCAGGCCAAAGGTTGAGAATGCAATAATTAGAGCCTCTGCAGTGACAGGGGCGCCCAGAAACCTCCACTTCTTGCCTTCCCCAGGCCTAAAAAGGGATCCCACTGGGCTAAGACCAGGCATGAGGCCCCCAGGGCTCCTTGGCTAGATGCAGTGGCCGCCTGGGGCTCAGCTCTGTGGGTAGGAGGGAGCTGTGGTCCCTCCTTGTCTCTCATGGACACCTATCTAGGAGGGCTGCTTTCTGAAGGAACCACACAGGTGCCCCTGGGAAGGGCATGGCCGGCAGCCCCGACCCTTGACTCACCCTGGTCGATGGAGTGCTGTGGCAGCTGGCTGAGCTGGCTGTTGACCACCCCCGCATAGGTGCGCAGGAACTCCTCCTCACTGGCCGTCAGCTGTAAGGGCGAGAGAACTGCAGGTGAGGGTGGACCATCACTTCTGAAGGCACCTGCCCAGGCCTGCTTGATCCCCAAGAGGTGCCTCTTCATTTGCTCCCTAGAGATTTGACCCCTCAGTTCCAGAGTGAGCAACCCCTCCCATCCCTGGACCGTGGTCCACAGGGCCTTGCCCCTCAGAGCAGACCTGAGACTGGGCTCTAGGGCAGTGCAGGGACAGTAGGAAGACACAGGCCCTGCTTGGAGAAATGCCCTGCACATCTGCTGCCCTCTCAGTGCCTGTTCCGCCCAGTGCCCCTCAAACGCTCCCTGGGAGAGGAGACTTAGGGCTAGGAGAGGGGAGGAAAGGAGGTCGGGAATTAGAACTCTCCCTACCTGGCCCCAGCCTGGCCCAGAGGGCAGACTGCCCCGGCAGTGGCCTGGAACTGGACCAGCCGCAGAGCCAAACCACAGGCTCAGCATCCCCCTCCCTGACCATGGTTGTACAGGTGGTGGCTACAGCCTCTGCTCTGCCTGCACCAGGCGCCCTCCCTGGGGGCTGTGGCTGGACACCCCACAGGCACTCACGTTTGATCCCATCTTCCTCAGCATGAGCAGCACCCGGACCTTCTGCTGAATGTACATCTCCTCCGGACTCTTTGCCGGAGCCCCCTCGCGGTTCATCCCCTGGCCAGCTCTGGTGACTGCTGGAGAGTGAAGAGAAGCACAAGGAGGTGTCAGGATGAGACATACCCAGATACAGACAGGGAGCTTGGTGGGAGCTGTCAGGCAGCCCACTATTCTGCAGCGCCTCATTTCTGAGAGCCCCAAGTGGGTGGTGAGTTGCCTGTTCCCCCTTGACCCCACTGGCCCCAACCAGACTGGGCAGTTCCACCTGGAGTGGGCACTGGTGGCCCCTATGTGTGCAGAGCTGTTGGGCCCAGGGAGACTATGCTGACCTAGACTTCTGGCCAGCTCCACTTTCTGGCCACCCCCTCAGCAAGGCTCCTACTATGAGCCACAAGAGATGTGCTATATGACCCCACAGTATCCCAGGTTTTCAAAGCAAGAAACCCCTACAAGGAGCAAAAGTGGCACAACCAGAGGCAGTTGGTCAGGCCTTTGCTGGAGAAACTGATCAGTACCCAGCCCCCAAACCCCAAGGCAGTTCCCTCAGGCAAAGCCCCTGATGAGTTCAAGAGGCCAGCTCCCGGGCTGGGCTCCAAAGAGTCCCTCGATGGGGACAGGCGGGCCCAGGGCTATAGGACACAAGACCCACCCAGGCTCAGTGCCAATGCCCTCACAGGCCCACCCCACCTGTCAGAGAGCAGCTCCTGCAGGCAGCAGCTGTGTTCAGGTGCAACAGGGACCTGACCTGCAGAAAGGTCCCAGGAGAGAAGTCTCAGGGTTTCCCCTCCGGAAGGAGCAGCTAGAGAGGAAGCCAGGCGTGGAGGGGTTTAGATTACATATTTGTAACTCCTGGATGAGTCAGAAATAACGCAGCAGCTGGTGGGGGTGGAGCCTCAGCAGCCCTAGTGCCAAAGAGCTGCGCTCGCTTGAAGGACCAAGAGCACTGGGCTGGTGGGTCAAGAACACTCCTCACACCATCCATCCCTCGGGGCTTGCAAGCCCTAGACCAGTAGGCTCTCCCAGGCTGGGTGGCTCTTTTGGGGAGGGAGGCTCTCGGTGCAAAGGGTGGACTCAGAGATGTGCCAGAGCCCTGAATAGCAGCTTCCCTGGAGGTCCCCTGTCAACTGCTCAGTCCCCATAACCTAACAGGGGCCCTAGCCCTAAAAGCCCACACAATAGGCCAGAAAGCTGACCAGCTGGGGCTTAAGTAGCAGCTATTTGCCCCATGTGACATGATCCCCTTTCAGGGACTTCCCTTCTGCCACTAAAGCCCCAGGCTCCTGAGTCTACTGTCTACCCAGCTTCCACCTCCTCTGGGTGCAGAAAAGGCTGTAACTAATAACCAGTACCTGGGAAAGAACAGTACCTGGGAAAGAGCATCTCTGATGGGAGGCAGCCCTCTGCCACCCCCGAGGCCAGGTATGTAGAGTGCAGGGAGCAACCATAACTTCCCAGTACAGCTGAGTGGGAAACTGGGCTCTGGGATTTCACTTGTCACACTGACCCCTTCTCATTGCCTTCCACTCCACCACCCCACCAGCATGATCCTTAAAAAAAGCCTGAACAGATGACACCACTCCCAGTTCACCCTACCCCCAATGCACAGTCTTTGCCAGAACCCCAGGAGGCCCGCAAGGTTGGCCTGGCCCCCCTCTCCTCTCTCCTCCCCTTGCCGCTCTGCCTTCCTGGCCCCAGTCTGTTTCTAGAACAAGCCAAGGAGCTCTTTTCCCCAGCAGCCTTTGCACTGTGTCCCTGGGGCCTGGAACTGGATTCTTTGCATCCTTCATCTCACTCAGACGTCTTCCCGGGAAGCCTTTCCTGCAGCACAGCCAAAGCAGGGTCTGTGCCCCTCTGCAGCCCTTTCAGTTACGTAGCCCTGCGTTGTCCCAATTTTATGAAGGCACCTTGTTGGAGCACTTGCTTTTGTCTCTTCCCAGCCTGACCAGGAAACATATGCTTTGCTTCCCTGCCACCCAGCACCATGCATGGCCGGTGCTAGGAATACAGCCCAGTGGCTGAATGCAGTATGGAGATTAGCCTGTGGTAGCCAAGCTTCCCCATCCCTACAACACCCACGCCAATTTAGGGCCAAATGTCATCGGGTTGAAAGAGACCAAAATACCTAATCCAGTCTCCAGAACCACACTGAGCTTTTCCAAAGGACTCTTGTTCCTGAGTAGTTTGTGTGCAGTGGGCTACTGCGTACTCCAAGGACACCTAAAATGCTCCAAGAAGCCTCCAAACTGGGAGCTAGGGCTTCCAGGAGTAAAATCTTCCAACTCTGTCCTGTGTCCAAGGGCTAATGTGGTCAGTTAGCTCTCTCCTTGTGAAAGACAGCCTGGAAGACAAGTGACCAGCCACTAGATGTCACTGCACACAAAAGAACCAGTGTTCCAGTACCACACCATCCCTCAACTCTCCCAGTAGGCCCAGCAGGCTCAAGCCCTTACTCTGATCCTACTGCCACAAACCACACCCAGTCCCAGGTCCCACAGCAAGATCTAGTCATTCATTCAGGGGTCAGCTCTACTGGGTGCTGCACATCCCAGGAGCTAGGGGTCCTGGCTTCACTGTGGTTGGGAGCCCCTTCCTCACTGTCCTTTCCTGACAGCCAAGCTTCCTACAACAGAGATGCAGGCTCAGAACCAACAGGAGTGTGTGTGTGTGCGCGCTATTTTTTTACATGTGGTCTATTTTTCAGAATTTTGCTCTGTCCAACAGTCCTACCCCCGGCACCCTGCACAGACAGACCAGCATCATTCCATCTTCTGCCACCACTGTGGCCCACCCCCAGGGGCCTCCCGTACTCATGCAGTGATTACTGGGGGGAGGGGGGCTGCAGGGTGTTCAGGGAGCCTGAGTCTCTGGGGCTGGGTCACTCCCACGTCAGCGCACTTCCCTGGCAGAGGCTGCTACTTATCTGTCCTTCCCTGCTTCGGGGAGGAAGATTGTCACTTCTAAAAATTACGATCTTCTAGGGTTCTCAGGCTCCCACGTGAGCTGATCCACCCACCCTGCCTCCTGGCAGAGAGAACACCCAGGGCTGATCCGGGGCATAACGTGGCCAGTGAGCCCCCACTGCCCCTTCACGCTCCCATCTAAACGGACTAGGCCTTCACAACTGGTTTACATAACTTCCAAACAGTCTGCAGCAAGGGGCCAGTGTGAGGAGAGTGAGTAATGAAGAGAGTCAGCCATAATAACCCAAGCAATGGCACTCAAGCCGCTGGTAGGCTGCACGATATTAAGGTATGCTTGCATTTGGTGCCCATCTAAGCAAACAGGCTATTAGATTTTCACCACCATTCTGACAAGCATCAGACTAACTTCCTTTGAGATTCTTACTCCCCTTGTAGAGATCAAGAACTTATCTCCATTAAAATGTGTTTAAGTTACACAAGTCCAAACTGCAACTAATTTAGACTCATCCATTACTCATCCTGCCCTCAGCCTTATGGGCCAAGGTAACCACGCTTCTCAATTCGGGTCTCCCGGCTAGTCCCATCAATGTCCCATCATCTAATATAGTGGCATTTTCATCTGATATCCTAAGAAAATGTGTTAACTGCCCAAGTAAGAGACAGACTTGCTCCCTCTCTTAAGATATGACATTCTGGAAGCTAACTAGAGAAAGGCATAGATGAGCTAAAAAACAGAAAATGGAAAGAAACAGCTATCAACTATCCAAATGAACAGTGAGGGGAGAGGCCTAAGGCCATATGTCATGCTATAGATAAAAGTGGAGGTGATTCCAAAAAATTATATCTGATTGAGACAAATGCAATTACAGAAACTGAGGTACATACATTCACTGCAGACACAGGCATATTCCTGACTCCCCACGCCCCCCCAACACTCCTGTTGGCTCTGAGCCCGCATCTCTGTTGAAGGAAGGATGGCTGGTAATGGAGAATGAGGAAGGGGCTCACAGGGAAGGATAAGAAGTGACAAACGGGGCTGTGGCCTGAGAGGCCACCCTGCACTCTCTGGGAGACATCCTGCCCAGCCTCCGCAGGGACCTAATCTCTACCAGCACATGCATCCAGCTTTGAAGCAGCGGATCTCACTTTAGAGGAATGGAGAGGTAGTGTGTCAGGGCCGGGCACGCAGGACTGCTGAATGGTACATGCAGCAATCAGACCCATTATGATAAACTACTTCGAAAGCTGGCTTCCCTTTGACAGGCACGTGTGGCCCTGAATACAAACACAGCCACCTGCACTCATTTTTATTTATAAAGTGAAGCTAATGCTGTTTGAACACCCACATTTATATAAACTGAAATATACATTTATACCCAGGGTGATCTTGTACCTGCTTGGAAAATCCTGAGTAACCTCAGGCGAGGCAGGACAGCAGGGGGTCCTTTAGATACACAAGCCATCTCTGCCGCATAGGTCCCAACACTTGTCTTTTGTTTTGTCCATTTAAAAAAAAGTGATACGTTATCTTGACTTGGGATGGTGAACACACAATACAGTGTACAGATGATGTGTTGCACTACTGTGCACCTGAAGCCTGAATAATTTTGTTAACCAGGGTCACTCCAATAAATTCAATAAAATATAAAAATAAAAATAAAAAAGTAATATATTTTAAATGCTCACATTTTAAAATGTACATTTACATTTGTACAATGTTTACATTGCATGCAAATACAATGCCATATAATTGTGCTATTCATACAGCTTCTATAAAATAGTCTTCAGAGACTGTACCCATCTTAATAGCCTGAAAGCAACCAGCAGCGCCACGGCACTCACCATGGGAACCCACCCTCTGAAGGAATGAGCATTATGAAGGACGAAGGAGGGGGAAACGAGACGCACTAACTTTGCTGTCAGCCTTGAGACAGTACCCAAGGCCCCCTCTCAACACCGATCTACAGCCATATCACCAGCCATCCTTCCCCCGAGGTCCTTACCTGCTTCTGGAAATTAACTTCAGGCAAACGGGTGCTCAACTGTGACGGGCGGGCTGTGGCCAGGGAGAAATAGGAAGGTGCGGCCCTGCAGAAACACAGAACATAGGTCATGGGAGGAGCCAAGAGGGCCCCAACGGCTGCCAGACTCCAACCTGGAGCACACACCCCGTGCTGACAGATACAGGACCGCGGGTGGGGAGCTCATAGCAACAGGCTCTGCCACGGTCCAGAAATACCTGTGTGTCTGGCCAGCCCAGGGAACCTGCACCAACATCTCTGGGATAAGGTGCTGACTGTGGCTGTGCTCGCCTGTCATTTCCAGCTAAAGCAGGTCAGCACACACCCTTCTCCCCTTGGGTTAGTCACCAAGTCCAATTGAGAGCTGTGCTGGGAGATGTTACGGACCTGAGCGAGTCACTCCAGGGCAGCTGACCAGCAAGTCCCACATCCGCACGAGAGGGTGCACCCTCCAAACCTAAATATAAGCAAGTACAGGTACCTGGGCACTCTGCCTCTTTTGTGCCAGATATGTATTGTGTCTGTGTGCTTGGTATATGGAAACAAAGACTAATACACAACACAGTGCAGATCATTTACAACCTACTAGCCTGACCACATGTCCACTTGTGCCAAACACACCTCTTCCAGGAATCAAAGAACACTGTCTTCTTGTCTTTTGTCTCCCCCACACAACCGCATCGTTCAGGCCCTTTGCAGATTAACTTAACGGAAGCAGGGACCAAGGCCAATAGGCGGGAGACACAGGGGAGGCAAGCAGGGGTCGTCAGGGAGACCTGCTCACTGATTGCCTCCTGGTCACCTCTTCTGCTGTGACATGGACCTCAGAGTAGCGGGGTTCATGTCCTGCAGTGAGGACAGGGTGTGAGGACAATACTTTGAGAAATCTGTGCCAAGGGAGGTACAGGACCAAGGGGAGCTTTGAAACCCTGTGTCTTCAAAGATTTCTGCAAAGAAAGCTACTTGTTCATCCAAGGGGTTAAAGAAAACACGTTTTCCATAAAAAATGAGGTTTCAGACACAAAGATGCAGCTCCACCCTCTGGGTCTCTGTTCTGCCTGTCCCTACACCTAGCGATGGCCCTGGGATGGAAGAGCTATCAGCCGACACTGCCACCCCCTCCCCTTCAGACTACCCCTGTGGGGACAGAGGTTTATAGTGATTAACTGCTCTTTCATTCCTCTAGATATCAAAGCACCCAAATACCAAGGGCCCCTGGGGAACTTTCTACCCAAGGCCCCACATTCCTTCAGAAGGAGACGAAAATAGACAGCCTTCTCTACTACTGAAGGGCTTTAGTTTCTTCACCTACCAAACAGCCAGTGAGCCTCCTACTGTCTACAGGGCTCGGGCCCTTCCAAGGAGCAGAGAAGAGCTTTGTATTGGTGACTTTAAGGGGAAGGAGGGCTGGTGGGCGCAGTGTGGGGTGTGAGAAGAGCGGAGCATGATGGTGACTCCCAGGAGGTGGGCTGAGCAACTGAAGGTGGGCGTTCCTACCAACCAAGATGGGGGAGGCACAAGTGGAGCAGTTTGGGGGAGAGACCAGGAGTTAAACTTTAGATAGTTAGAGCCTTCCCATCTCTAAGCCTCAGTCTCCTTATCTATAGAATGGAGGCAGCAATGGTACCTGCCTGAAGTGCTGGCTGAAAATTAAATGAGATGACACAAAGAAAGCACTGAGCATAGTGCCTGGTACACAGCAAGCACTCAATAAATATTAGTTACTCTTACTAGTGATAGATCAGACGGCAACACAGGCAATGTAAAGAATGATATTTTTGCTACAGGATATTTTTGTTTAAAAATAAGAATTCAAAGGTTTAAAATACTCCAGCTTCCTTTCCTCTCTTCTTCCCTCCCAGTTCGCCCACCAGCTCCCAACTGGCTCAAAGGAATGATAAGGGGTGAAGAGCTACTGGGGGTAGGGGAACAGGACCTAACTTCCACGTTTTCTTCATGCTGCGCCGAATCCCTGGTTTCTCAATCTTTGGCAGTACTGACATTTTGGACTGGATAACTGTTGTGTAGGATATTTAGCAGCATCCCTGGGCCCTGCATAATACAGTCATGTTTCAGTCAATGACAGACCCCATATACAACAGAGATCCCATAAGATTATAATAGAGCTAAAAAATTCCAATCGCCTAGTGACATCGGAGCCCTGGCAATTACACAAATACCACTGTGTTACAAATGCCTACAGTATTCAGTACAATAACATGCTGTACAGCTTTGCAGCCTAGGAGCTGCAGGGGAAGAGTCTGTCACTCCCAAATATGTCTATTTGGCATAAGGATTATTTTAGGCTGGTTAATTTTAAGAAACAGCAGACATGGGAGAAGCTCTGAAAACCAAGTAGAAATTACTCTTTATAAAACACATTTACATGTGTAAGGGAGATCTCCATTTGTACCAGGAACTGGGGATGACCTTATCTCTAGAGACTCTTATCAGTGCACAAGACTTAAATTGGCATAGCAACCCTGCCCTAGTTTACTGTGCTTTTCTGGTAACCTCCTCCCTCCCCCAACATTTGAGCCCCCCTCCCTCAACATCTTTGTCTTCAACTGAAGACAGTATCTAAGGTGGTGGCTTTCACCATTTGGGTGAGTTACTTAGTTTTCCTGGGTCTCTCCAATGTATACAGGAAATATACATGTTATTAAACTTGTTTGGTTTTCTTCTGTTAATCTGTCTTTTATTACAGGGATGTCTCAGCCAAGAATCCAGAAGGGCAGAGGAAGAATTATTTTTCCTCCCCTACAGAGCAGTGGGCTACACCATATAACCTAGGTGTGCAGGAGGCTGTACCATGTGGGTTTCTGTAAGTGCACTCTGATCTCTGCACAACAAAATCACCTAACAATGCAGAACATATTCCTATCATTAAGCAGTGCATGATGTAGATACAGTAGCACCACCACCTTGGTTGTGACAACTGTGGTCAAAAAAGGGGTTCTATGGAAAATAACCTCACAGGTGATCTGATGTAAATTAGTAAGTGGGCAGGTCATGGTGGGAAGTTAAGCCATAGGCATGTACCTTCTTTAGTGAAAGGTTTTCTTTGCCTTAAGCAAGCCCCGTCCATTGTTTCTGTGCACCTAGGTTAAACCACCCTCAAGAGTCTTGTTAATGATCCTGTAATCCCACCCCCACCTTGCTTTCTCCCACCTTTATGCAATCTTCCTCACATTCCCTCCTTAGTTCCAACAGCATAAAAGAAGCTGCAGACCGTCATCATAGGAAGCATTTTTCTCAGTCTGTTGAGATCTTGCTTCCAGGCATGTCCTTTGTTTGGCTCAAATACATTTTTATAAAAATTCTCTACAGGTTTGGACGTTCTTACATAGACACAACCAAGAATATCTCCAACATGTTTTCATGTGTCCCCTAAGAGGCAAAGTCACGCTGGTTGTGATCACTGCTTTAAAGAAATAGCTTACATTTTCTAGCTTACTATTGGCCAGGCCTTGTTCTTCATCTTCACTTATGTGAAACTGTTCAATCTTCATAACAAACATCTCTATATGTTTTACAAGTGAGGACACAGATGCAGAGAGTACCTCGCCTGTGACCACCCAGCTAGTGTGACCTACACTGTTCTGGGGCAGGAGTCAAACCCGAACTATCTGAGCTCTTACCCCTACACTCACCTGCTCTCCAGTATACAAGTAAATGGATAAAAATGAGCTCGGAGCCAGGAAGAGGGGGCCAAGACTGAGGCCTGATCTGCAGCTCTGGCTTGGAGTCCCACGCAAGGCGGCACCTCAGGTACTCTAATGACATCAAAACTGGGGCACCAGAGAGAATTTCCACAAGTTCCGCTCTTAGTAATTAAACTGCAACCTCCCAGACTGTATGGCCTCATGAGCAACTGCCTTAATTAATAAATTCCACATTTCAGCCTCCTCAATCCAGAGCTGGGCTCAACATTCTCGAACCACGCTCCAGCAGCACGAGCAAAACAGGTCTAATGATGGCCCTGCGAGTCAGGGAGTTTGCAGGACGCAGCACCATTTTTAGGGGATGAGCTTGGGATTAAGAATTTGTCCTGAGGTCACCAATCCAATTCAAACCTGATCCAGAGCTCCTTCCTGCTCTGTGAAGCCAGCAACACTGCAGAACAATAATTACTGTTGCTGCTATAGCCTTTTCCAGGGGCCAGGCACAATGTCAGTCACGTTCAGCACACTGTCTCATTTAATGTGAGTTCTCACAACAAGCCTGCATGGCAAGAACCGTTTTCCTGTTAAAGATGAGACAACTGAGGCTCAGAGAAGACAAATAACCTGCTCCGGGCCATGGAGCTAATCAGTGACAGAGCCTGGACTAGAATCTGTGCTTTCTCTCCATCCTATCAGCCCCTTCTGGCTCAGAAATTTATAGATGCATTAGCCATTTTAATTAAAATGAAAATCTACTTTACAGAAAAAAAGAAAGCCAGAGCCCCAAACTACTGCCAATCAGAAAATAAGATAAGGCAGCATAACAACCAAATACAATGAATG